GGTGGAGGCGCGGACACCGAGAACTGATCACGCTGGCCGGCGGACCAGCCCGAGCACCCTGAGAGAAGACAGCAGACCAGCCCGAACACCTCTGTCCCCAGAGAGGACAGCAGTATTTTAGAAAGGTGTGTAGTTAAAAAAAATAAGCTGCGCATCAGTCTATATCTGTGGGGGTGTTGCCCTGGAACCAACAACCTCCAGCTTCTGATCTAGAAGTATTTACTTATTTCTGCTAATTCCGTATCATTTGATCTACACGATCTGTTTGTGACAATCTGAGCGTCCTGGTCTTCTGCTATCGTAAGCAACAGGCTTGAACCCCGCGCTGAATGCAGTGCATGTTCACATGCATCATATAAAAGGCTCAATGTACATCACCCTCTCTCTCTGCTTGGCTACGTGCTCGTATAAATGCGAAATCGTTCGGACGAACAAGCCGATAGAGCGGTACCTGAAACTGTCCCTAAATGGAGGCTGCGGGGTGACGCAGGATAATCCTAATTCGATATCATCCATCGTTTCCCGACCACGCCACGCACTCCCACGCGTGACCGGCCCGTTGCTCTAACAGCTCGGTCGCCGCGCCTCCGAAAATGACCATTTAATCCACCTGCCGTCTCACCACGGCCCGGTATTGGTCCGTGCCACTGTGACGTCACGCGGCGCACCCGGTTACTTCAGCCCGGCGGCACGTCAGGCCGGGTGTTAGTCGGCCTCGTTGCCGGTCGGGAGTGTGAGTGGGCACGGCACGGCAGCACGGGAGCTGAAGCCACACCTCGCGCCATGGACCGCCGGTGTCCGTGCTGAGGGTTCGGACTCCGAGCGGCCGGGGCACCGCGGCGGCAGGTCGGCCCGCGATCGAGGTGAGCGAACGAGTGGCGTGCGTTGTTCGATTGTGCAAGCGTAGTGAGTGAGACACGAGCCCGCGCACTGAGAGATCAAGACAGCCATTCAAGCTCGCTTTGCCTCTGCAAGGAAACAACAGGTCGACGAAATATCCACTGGTGAAAGCAGATGCAGTGTCGATATCCGGTCATTGTTCGCCGCCTTGCATCAGCCGGCTGGCGAAACACACCCAGGCGCCGATCCCGGCGATGAATGGGAAACGCGTGAGACTTGTCCAAGGAAACAAAGATATTGCTACGCTACGCCAGTAAGACGGACTGCATATCTAGGCCAGGGTTGGCGTGGGCACTACCTGACAACTGGCCATTCCAGTCACCATTGTTTTCAAGACAACACCGCGCACAATGACCTGTAACTGCTCGCCTGTTCGCGTTGGGGTAATCTTACAGGTGGAAAACATCGTAAATGATAACGTTTGCATGACGCCGAGCCCGGTTTTTGGAGGTGGCCACCATGCGGCTTCATTGTCAGAGCTGTCGGCCGGCCGTGCCATCGACGCAGCCCGAGCCCCGTGCATCTCACCTGTGCCGCCCTTGAGAGGCTGCCGTAACGCTCCGGCGCGTGTCCGGATCATTAAGGCCAGTTAGCATCAGAAGTGATGGGCACCGTGTCATGACCCATCTCCATGCCGCTGTGGAGTCGTTTTGAAACAGTGGGAGGCGTTCAAGCCCGCAAATAAACACGCAATTGACACATTATTCAGCACTCATCTGGCAACAGGGAAATGGACCTTTGGACGGGCAGAGAACACTGGTTTCTGTTAATACAATGGTAATCGTATTGGGTTAAAAGCGGTGACACACCCAACTTAAGTACCCAGCCCATGACTTCTGATATCTTAAGGTGTGGTTTTGTCTCGTGATTCGAAAACGAGCAGCACTGTTGTTACAGGACAATGCTGAAGCACGTGCAGATTAACCCGCTGCGGTCTTCGCTGATGCGGTCTGGCCAGAAGGCGGACACTCTGAGCATCAACTCCACCATGAGCTTCAGCTCACTGCACGAGCCTGCTCTGTCGTCTCGCTCCTCCTCCTACACAACACGCTGAACGAGACCAGAGCAGCACGGGCAGCACCAGCGTACCGGCCACGCCCACGGTAAGACGGATGACTAAACCGGGACCAGACCCAGATCTGACCCAGTAGCACGGGGGCAGCACCAGCGTATCGGCCACGCCCACGGGAAGATGGAGAACTGGACCGAACCAGACCTAGACTAGATTTAGACCCATAGCAGATCCAGACCAGACCCAATCCGGAACCAGACTAGATTAGATCTATAACAGATCCCGAAAGACTCAGACCAGACCTAGAGCAGACCCAGACCAGACTCAGACCAGACCCAGACCAGACCCAGACCCAGACCCAGACCCAGACCCAGACCAGACCCAGAGCGGCACGGGCAGCACCAGTGTATCGGCCACGCCTACGGTAAGACGGGACATCTAGGCCAAACCAAAAGCAGACTCAAACCACACCCAGACCAAACCCAGATCAAGCTCAGATTGAGCCTAGACTAAACCCAGACCAGACCTAAGCCAAACCCAGGTCACACTCAAACTATATCCAGACCAGGCACAGGCAAAACCCAGATCAGATCCTGAGCAGACCCAGACCAGACCAGTGACGAATCAGTGAGTATGGTTTGAAGGGAGGACGCCACCCTTTCTGTGTTTTTTACTTATTGTTAGATAAAACGCGTCCGATATAATCCGCAATGCTAGCTTTCCCGAAAACCTTCTGAATAGCCCAGGATTTCCGTTGGAGGTAGCCGCTCCGGCGGGAGAAATCACGTTCGATTCCTTGTTCAATTATAAAAGCAAGACTTTCATTTGCATTGATTTCTCCAACGTGTGCGTTGTGTAATGTTTGCAATACACTTATTCGTGAAATGTTTGTGTAGAAAATGCTACGAAAACTACGAAAAAATCTGTTAGGGAACAAGTTTGCAAACGTAGGCTGGTATCCCGCCAATCACTGAAACGTTGCAGTATGGGTTTTATTTCTCCCCCTGTAACGTTAAGGGCAGTGGATCTTTTTGAAACGCACTTTGGTTTTGAGAAGCAGATGTATGATATGGTCGATAGTGACGCGCTGGTTAAAACTTCCACCAATGCGCTTCTCGGCAAATGGCCTTCGCCGCCCGTTGTGCCAATCACAAACCTTATTTGTACTGACGTCATTGATACCAGTGAGGCGTCATTTGAAGCCCGCCGGCGCAAGGTTGTGGTTAAAACAACTCAAAAGAGGTACAGCTACGATTGCACTCAGCATTCTGCCGTCGTCATGGTGATGGTAGTCTCATCATCACTGCGTTATCGAGGCTAGGGCTGCACTCTGGAACTACCAAAATACAATAAATGTACTGCTTTGACAGCGACGTTGACGGGGTGACTTGAGCTCGGGACTAATTAAAACTTATCTACTTGTTATATTTCGATGGTGGTGCAGTGGCACTGCCCAGGTCTATTAATAGCCGTAACTGGTCACTAGTTTCAAGAGTATGTTTTTTAAATCGGCCCCAAAGGTGGGACAATCGCTTTTAATGCCACGCGCACGTTAAAGCTGAGGTCGGGGCCAGATCGTGTGCTGCAGAAGACGAGGAGACAAATAAAGTGAATATTAACGCTAGCTTCTCGAACACAGCCGTCTCCCTTTCTGCTGCCGACTGACCAGAATTATTACCCCCATCAGCTATGTTTAGACAAATTTATTCACCTGCACTACAGCTCATATGTCAAACAGAGCCGGGCTAATGCGATGTCCAGGTGCTTCTGTTGCATGCTTGCTTACATAATTTAGAGGTGGCCAGGGTCATCCATAAGTGGCGTCGGCAGGCCAGCTGTCTGGTAATGCCTGTGACCAAATTCCCTTAAATTAGTCTCTTTGCCATAGCCTGTTGCGTCTGACTCATTCTCTGCGAGCGTGTGCTGCCAGCTGCGTGGTCATTATCTCATCAGCCAAAGTTCACATGGCGTTTCTGTAACAGTGGAAAATGGTCTAATGTCTGTAATAAATGCCAGAAAAACCCATGCATTGGCGATTCTTACTTCTAGGATACAGAGGTGACTTCGCCAGTGAACAAAAAAGTGTTTCATCATTTCTCTTCTGCGCTGGGTTCGGTTCTGTTTCTGCCCCATTATTTTGTGGCGCCCCGCGTCCACAGAGGAGTCAGTGACGCGATCACCAGGCATTCAGCGGCCAGTGTGAACTGCTTCTAACGTGACCGGGGTCCAGAGCCGGGGATTGTAGTCGGTCACTATTGATCACGCCGAACTTCACAAAAAGCCTGCC